GGCCATCACCTCAGGATGCTGCTTGTTTAAATGCTGTTTGGCTCCTTTCTGGCCTACGAGGACCTGACCACAGAGTGCGCAGTGTTCCATCAGTTAATCATGGAACGCCGGATTTCGAGCGGCGCCTTCTGGATTGTCCTGGGCATCAGACTGTAGACTTTCTACGAGTGAGATCCGGTTCTGTGCTTCTAAGGGTAGCTCTTCCTGCTGTCTAAGCAAAAGCTCTTTTCTAGGGCAGGTAGATGCTTCGACATGTTTGCGCAGATAAAACACTGTTCGGAATGTTGCTCGACAGGCGATGCAAGTTGCTGACCCTGGCATTGAATGCAAAATAGGATCAAATTTGGGTCCTTTCAGGCACTGCTGAGAGTCTGGGTGAGCCTTCTGCAGGTGGCGACGGAGTGCTCCGGTGCCAGAGAGACATGCTCCACATTCTCCGCAGGTCAGAAGCCTATCCTCCACATGGTGCGAGGAGAAGTCCGTGGAGAGGCCTTCCAATGCCTGGCTAACTGCCTCAGCACGCAACTTATAGTGTGGGAGAAGCTGGGGATCGGAGTGTTGCTGTCTCTTTATAAACTGGGTCATTCTCTTTTGCAGCTGCTCCTTCACGTGAGGAACCCGTAATCTCCGGAGTAACTCCTGGTTTGATTCCTTCGTTTCCTGGGAGTAACTCCGCAGGACGAATCTGAGTTGGTACATCATGTGTGAATGGAGCTTTTGCAATCCCTGCTGTGTCATCCCCACCACGTGGAGTGCATACAGAGCAGAGGCCCACGCAGTTATTGTCCAAATCGACAGACGACGTCTGTCTGATAAGACTCGGTGGTTCCGAACTGCATGGGCTACTTCTGACATTGCAAGCTTACTGGATGACAGCCGATGTTTGAGAGTCTTCATTTCATAGTCGTGATAAGAAAGAATGACCCCCACGTATGGAACCTGATAGCGCAGCGATATCAGCCTGCCCGAAGGGAGTTCAACATACTTCTCTCCCTCGACCTGGCGAAAGAGTTTCTTCCTAATGGTCGAGGCTGAGCCCCCTCGCAGCTGTAGCAGAATTGCTGACTTGGACGGATTGACCTTGAACCCAAGCTCTACCAGCTGATCCAGAAGCAGGTCGCAGTACCCTAGTGCTGTCATGAGGCCGGCCTCAGAGTCGAAATGCGACTGGATCAAGCTATCGTCAGCGTACATTGTGAGGAGCTTCACTAGTTCTGCTGGGCTGATTTTCCCAGAGAGCTTCCTAAAGAGGAGCCCTGATGCAAAGGCGAATAAAGAGGGTGCTAGCTTACATCCCTGCTTGATTCCCCTGCGTGTGGCTATCTCAAAGCTCTGATCGCTGGCTGTCATCTTATACAAGGCTTTGATGTGGAGATGGCCTACCACCTCTATCAGAAGAGGATCTGCTTGTTCGGCTTCCAGGGCCTCTCTTAATCGCAGCCTGTTTACAGTGTCAAAAGCTTTGCTCATGTCCACGCTCATGGTGAGACTGCCTCTGAGCTTAAGCCCCTGTTGTCCCTTACCTGCAGCCCTAGTGGTGAGGGCCTGTCTGAACCTGGCCTGGTCCACATGTGTGAGGGCCTTGCAGATAGCCTCCTCTGTGCCCCTGCCTGGGACAAAGCCGAACTGAGAGACGCCGGTCATTGCTAGCTGGAGGGTAGACTTGAGTCTCTTCCTCACGAGTCCGACTAGGACCTTACCCTCAGGTGCTATCACCCCGATCGGACGGAGTGTGGTTGGTTTGTCTGGCTTCTTGGGAGGCTTTGGGAGCCAGGAGATCTGTGACGGCGTGACACTGTCCGAGAGCCTTCCTTAAGGGTGTCCGAGATTAGCCGGATTGCTTGGGGACCTAGGGAGCGCCAGGCTACTACGGGAGGACTCTCTTTAGGAACCGCCTTACCCAGCTTTATTGTGCCAAGCTGTTCTTGCACTTCTTGCTCAGTGATGTGCAGGCTGCCTTGTATCCCTGAAAGCGGGAAGTCATCCCCTGCTCCAAACAACCCTATCCATCGGCCGACAGAAAAAAACGGATTCGATTGGCAGTTTCAAGCGGATTGGGCCCGATTGATATTTTCAAGCGGATCCACTAGTTTTCTGCGAAAACCAAGCGAAACAAAAACCTAGCGGGGAACCAATAGCAGCATAGAGCAAAAACCAAGCGGAGCATTCAGGAGCACGGGTGTTTGACCGGGCTTGAAGCCTGCGATTTCTGGTTTCACAGGTTTTCACAGATCTTCACAGGTTTTCACAGATCTTCACAGAATTTCACAGATCTTCACAGAATTTCACAGATCTTCACAGACTAATCTGTGAAGATCTGTGAAATTCTGTGAAAACCTGTGAAGATCTGTGAAAACCTGTGAAAACCTGTGTGCTTCAGAATTCCGGGTTGGGCTCGATGTTTTTGGTGTGCTGGGCACGGGAAACCAAGCGAAATCGTTGATGAAAAACCTTGCGGAATCGATGATAAAATCCTAGCGGAGAACCTAGCGGAGAAAAT